GTTTGTACATTTTTTAGCGTGCGCAGTGAAATAGCTCACGTTTTTATACACGCAAACCTTTGATAGATCCGGCCCTTAGTGTTAAAGTGGCTCGAAGACCTGAAACCCCATTTAGAATTCAGAATTTGATTGGACTAGTTAATTATGTCTATCACCTGCTTATCTCTGCCCAGTTCTTATTACCGCTCTATTTAACCTGCCTTCAGACCAGCCATCAGCGCCAGATTGTTTAAGCCTGTGGTTATAGTTCTCTGGCATACCTGTGTTTCTAATTGTCTTATCTTGAACCTCTGAGCCTGCCCGTCCCCGTTCTGATCTGTTTGCCTGACCTGTCCTCGGACTCCTGCCCATTATTTGCCTGGCTGTTAACTGAACGTGGAACTGTTTCCCGACTCTATTCTGGATTTCTCTCCGGCACCTCTTTGGACCTCTGATCTCCTGACTCTGAAAACCTACCATGGCTCTGACATCATGGCTCTGACATCATCTTTGGTTTCACCCTCTGAATTATCCTGCCTTCCTTCATCTGCTGGGTTCTGGTCTCCTGCCTTTCCTCCAGCTTGCGGGGCTTCAGCAGCTGTGACTCTCTGGGCGCCGCCCATCATGTCTCATTGGCAGCCGACCGGCTGGAACCTACTTCTTCCCCTGGGCTCGAACTGAACTATAAGACCAGGTTAGTGACTCACACATTCATTATGATCCTCCGCCAGATAGACACGATCACTAACCTGCTGTCTCCTCCTGCAGAGGTTCCTACCTTAGATGCCGACACAGTTCACTGCAGTTCTGTCTTTAAAATACATTTTGATAAAACTAACTGCCTATACCTTGAATACTGGGTCCTATTCTTTTGAGCCTAACAGCTACAGCTGTTTAAAAACAACAATATATATAATAATGTCTTTAGTTATGCCAAGTTGAGGACATAGATTTAAAAACCTGCAGCAAAGGCAGCAAATTTAAAGGGGGTTCTTCATAGCAGATCACAACGGATGGTCCATTTTAACACAAAAACATGTTCGATTTTATTTTGTCATTACAAAACATATCATTTTCAATCCACTTTACAATGATGCCTATAAAGGTGTTGATCTATGACTTTATATCAAAGGTAATAGTGGCATGAAAAACTCCAAGGACTAAAAAATACAGTTACAAGTCATTTTGTCCACACAGCCAACTAGACTGTCCATTATCACTGTAACTGATGTCATCAGTCATCTGTAGGAAGCTGAGGAACAGACAAAGAAGAGGATGTCCTCCTCACTGAAGTGGAAGTGTCTCAGTGGGTAAAACATCTAAATGTAGTAAATTACTCATCCTTTGCTCTTTGTATTTGGCTCACAAGTTAGACAGTTTGTCCAACAGTCTCCTTTTCATCCTGACATTAAATGTGTTGCAAGTTTTTTTTTTTCACATCTTTACATTTTTTTTTTACAGCACAAAATGACAAGCTTTCAATCATAAAAGTGTGGATTAAAAACTTAAACAGGTATTTATGGGGAAAAAATCATGTGAATCATTAACATGTTTTTTCATATATTAAAAAGTGTTATTTGCTGATTTTTGTACTCTCATCACATTTGTACAGAGTAAATCATATATGGTATTCAGTAAATGTAAAAAAAAAAATGCTGATGGTTTAAGACAAAAGATGCTTTAAGTCTTTTTAGAGAGGAAGGATTTAGTTGAACAGAAAACAAATGGAGGAAGCCGACTGCTGGCCTGCCTACGGTCCACAAGGATGGATACCATAAAAAGATCAGGACTTAAAACTTCAGGTCACTGACATAGAAATGTATCACCTTTTTATAGCTTTGACTACCCTTCTTATGCATTCCTGTTGGCATCGTTGGGAATAAAAACAATTGCTCTTTGTTATATATGCAGAGGTCCCAAACGGGATTTCCCATGATCGTATCAGTTTCCTGCTGTAAGGAGGAAAAACTCAGTGCTGAGGTTTAAACAATGAAAGAAGTGGCCTACAGTTGATATTGTTCTAAGCTTTAAAGTTTTTTTCTGCTGCATTGTCACAAGAGCTGCTAATGCAATGCGACAATACATGGATGTACTACTTAGCTATAATATCAGTGGGAAATTAACCTTATAAAATTGTTCAAATGCACAAGTTTAATCCTTTGTGCAGATTCCTTTTTTTCATGTAGTATATTTTACCAAACCTATTTGTACAGAAAGCCATCTTAGTAACACTAATCACATCTCAGTAAGAAAATTTGTGTGTAAGTTCCAACTATTCTGTGGCAATAAGGGATTTTTTTTTTTTTTTTTTGAATAGGTCTTGCTTCTTACCCCGTCATATAGTCGTTATTATCGCGGACAGCTGTTTAAAAGGTGTTTTTTTTTACTAAATTCAATGGTTTCTTTGACATATCAGCCATTCAGAGGCCTCTGTCCTCTATTCATGGACTACCTTGTTGCTCATAAGGTGTAATAGGTGTAATTTCAGGGGTTGTGCTAGAAATTAATTAAATACATTACTTAATAAAAAAAAAAAATAAGGCAGGTTGGCAACGGATGGACAGATGAACAGACGGAGAGATGAGACCTCATCAGTGTGAGGGTTTTGTTCTTGAAAACCATGACTTACACAATCACACATGTTTACTGTTAAAAAAAAATCTATCAAAGATATCACAGAAACGGCTATTGGATCACAAATGATGGAAACAGCTTATATATTTCAACCTCTACAAAATGTATGTTTTTTCTTTTTTTTTCATGTGTCAGAAAGTTCAATGGCAATTCTAGTTTGAAAAAAATGCAATTTACTGAAAATCATTCCATGGTCCTGTTGGGATCTGGAGGTCTGTCCACTTTCTCCACCAGAGGGCATACTAGATCTCCTGGAGCCGGAGCTGATTGCAACCACCTGTGGTACATCTGCTCATCAGGAGATCTGTATTTAAGGAGGCAGAGGACTTCTCTCCAGTGCCAGAGTGTTTGCCAGTTACTGTTAGCAAGCCTGAGCCGACCTGCCTGTCTGAATCTCTGACTCCCTGAAAACCAGAACCTGAACCTGATCTGTTTTCTCCTCTCTGCTTCCTAGATTGAACCTGTCTGAAACCTGAAACCCAGAAGAGTAACTCTGCCGGTAATCTGCCTGTCAGTTCTCTGAAGAACCCTGGAAAACTATTCCTGTCAAAGACCTGCCTGCCCGCTCTCTGAAGAAACCGGAAGGGAAACTCTAATTGGTAATCTGCCAACACTCAAACCTAAGCTCTGCCTCCGCCTAGCCCTCAGCCTGCCGACAGCCTCTGGACCCTCAACTCCCTCAGCTCAACTCAGCCCTGCACACTCTCATCCTGCAAATTACCTGGACCTCCACTAACTCCTCTGTCCCCCTCTGCAGTGAACCCACTCGTGACCAGTCCTGGACCTGTAACTCTGTGTGCATTTCAGAATCCACTCGTGACCAGACGAGTTCCCCTTGGGATCTGTTTATTTATTGTATTCCATCTTCTAAATAAACCTTTGAACTTTTATCCTGTCTCGGAGTGTTCTGCATGTGGGTTAGGCACCTGAAGCCAAACATGACAGGTCCAGGCTATAAAGAGCTAAATATAGCATATCTAATGCATCCCATAGTTTTTCTTTAGTTGTTGGTATTGTTTACACATACGTATGCCTAATGTCTATTTTTTGCTTGGCTAGATTTTTTAATGTAACTGTGTCTAACTCACAAACCATACGCAGACCTTTAGATGTAAATTTGTTTCCCTATAATGTATTTTTTTTTCTGTAAAATGAAACTTTCTCTCACCTAAAATCTAACTTATTTAAAATGTGAATTTGTTTCCTAAAATGTAAATTTGTTTGCTAAAATGTAAATTTGTTTTTAAAATTGTAAACTTTTTTTCAAAAATACATTTGTGTCATAAAATATAATTTTGTTTCTTCAAATGTTATTTTGTTTTTTATTTGTTAATGTAAATTTGTTTGCTAAAATGTAAATTTGTTTTTAAAATTGTAAACTTTTTTTCAAAAATACATTTGTTTCATAAAATATAATTTTGTTTCTTCAAATGTTATTTTGTTTTTTATTTGTTAATGTGTTTTTGAATTGTAAATGTGTTTTGCACTTCTCAGCCACCGTACAAATGTGTTCTGTTGCCTAGATACAGGGGTTGTCTCACATTACCCAGTGTCTTACTTTACCTCGCTCTCCCCTACTAAAGTTTTATTACATTATAATACTTCCGTTCCAGGGATGTTTCGGAGCTGAAAGAATCGGTTCTTTTAAAGATCTGGTTCACATGAACCAGATCCCGAGAAGCAGTCGAAATTCCCATCCAGTCAGCTGACGTGTGACCAAAACAAAAATGGCTGCGTGGATGATAAACTCCTCACATCTTTTTGCGTTGTTATTATTCATTTTTTATCATTTAATCTGGTTTCGTACGACACATTTCCACGCAGTGAATTCTCCGTGACTTTTCCGTTTCACTCTGGGAGCCTTTCTGGATCTTCTTTGAACCACGGAGCAAAAACGAAACCAGGAAAATGAGCGGAAGTTTGATCGGACCGTTTGAAACCAAACATCCGCTCCTGTAAGCGCGTGTGTTTGTGATGCTATCCTGTCCTTTCAGTCAGCAGAAGCCATGAAAGCAGGGATTTAGTGTTAAATGATAAGAAGTTATATACTAACGGTTTATTTGATAACGCAGAAGCAACGGACCGCAGAAGATGTGACGGTTATTTCACTGAGTAACCACTATGTGCTTTGCTGCGACCTCTGAGCAGGGAGAAGTAGCAGGCTAATCTCAGCAGGAAGCACCATGGGTTTGGTGAACTTTGTGATATCCACAGTTGGGAAATGCCTGGATGTGGCAGCTTTACTGTTGGACCTGAACTTTCTGATCGTCCACACCGTGGTGAGGACCCTCCTAACAATCATTGCCTTTATCACCAACCTCCCCACCCTGATCCTCAACCTGCTTCTGCATGTTGGGGACCTCACCCTGTTCTCTGCCATGTACATGGCAGAGACAACATCAAACCTGGCCCATTGGACGCTCAGCATGCTGGGCAGCCTGGCTCTGGCTCTGGAGGGGCTCCTGGAGAGTCTGAAGATGGTGGGCTACCTGTCCATGCACGTCCTGCTGCGTGGGAAGGATCACCTGTGCAGGGGTCTGGTGTCTGTGTTGGAGGGTTGTGGCATCGCTGTCAGCTTGGTGGTTTACTTCACTAACACGGTGGTGAACTTTGCACTGATTGCCACCCAGAATGTCTACCTGGCGGCTGTGGGTGTGTGGCAGACGGTGTCCAGTCCGCTGCAGAAGGTGCTGGAGTTCGCCCTCACCTTCTTCACCTTCCTGTACAGCAGTCTGGTCGGAACGTCTGCCTTCCTGTGGTCTCCCTGTAAGCTGCTTCTGGATTTCATCGCCTCCCTTGTCCAGATGTTCATCTCCATCTTCATCCTGAACATCTATGGCCTCCTGCTTACCGTCACCATCGCCCTGTTGACCACCGCCTACCTGAACCCCAGACTGAGCCGACAAGCAGCTGTGCACATTTTGGTTTACGTGAACTCCTTCCCTGCTCTGAGAAGACTGTATCGGGCTCTTTGGCGGTTCACCTCAGCCCTGTGGAGGACCCCGGATGTTCTTCAGCGTAATTTGCAGCTCCTGCACCAGAGGCTTCAGCAGCTCTACCTGCTGGAGAGAAGATTTTGGCTTCAGCTGTCTCATCATCGCAGCCTGCTGGGCCTGGTGCTGAGGACAGCGCTCCAACGGGATAACGCCAACCGAGTGAGAGGTGACGGCGACACCGGAGAGGAGCGACGGGACCCACCAGATGGTAGAGACAGACTCCAACAGGAGCCCGGGGATCTACCTTCATGTAGTGCAGACAGACCACTAAAGATGTCGCCGTCTTTAGGGAAAGACGGTAAACCTCTGCCTGCTGAGAGTCTGCTTACTCTGTTAAAAGAGCAGGAGGAGAGGAAAAAGTGCGTTATCTGTCAGGACTGCATCAAGACGGTGGTGCTGCTGCCGTGCAGACACCTTTGCCTGTGTAGGGACTGCACCAACATCCTTCTGAGGCAGCCGATCTACCAGCAGAACTGCCCCCTGTGCCGCCACATGATCCTGAACACCATGGACGTCTATCTCTAAGAGACGCCACTGATTCCACGCAGCGATGAGCCAGCCCCGAAGCCTTAAAGTGTTTAACACCATACAGGGGAATTCATTGTCACATTTGGGGATGTTTTCCATTTCTTTTCCTTAAAGCCCCAAAATAACATTTCCAAGTTTTTTTTTGTTTTTTTTTTGTCTTCTAACACTGAAGAAATGTATTTTTATTTTAAAAGGTGCTCTGGAGTTCAAAAGAAAATTTCATGTTTTTTGAAAGTTTTTTAGGCAGAGCTTTGTTGGAGACTAACAGAGAAAAATGTCAAATTCCTCCCATAAAATATTTAATACGCTTGTTTCAGATGTTGCATCCTTTAAATGAAGTACCAAGTTTTCTTTTGCTAATCTTAGCTAAGATTTAAATCCTATTATCATAATTACCGCATTTTAAAAATTATAACAGTTGTGTTTTACCATTAAGGAGATCTTTTTTTTTTTGTCCCTTTCTCTCTGTAATCTGTGATATTTCCATTTCCATCTGAGGACCAGTCATGCATTTTACTTCCAGCAAAGTCCTCTGAATATGATATTTAAGATCTGATCTCCAAAACATGCACAGAATCAAAGGTTTGGACAAAGACTCCAGTTATGGTTCAGAAAAGTGCTGTTACATCTGATCGAAAGACGGTTTCTCACTATTAGATGCATTATTATCATCCTCTCCTGCATCGCTGAGTCTTAGAACGCCGTGCAAAGCTGTGTCATATTAGCGCAACACTACTTTTCTGCAAAAGTCCGAAACTATTGCCTTTTAACATTTTTCTGTGGGTTGCATTGTTCAACCTTCTGTTTACCATCAGCCCAGAGCTTTATTTCCTGTTGTTCTGTCTATTATTGGGGCTTTGCCCAGTCTTCCATCTGAGGTGTTTTATTACGGTCACCAACAAAATAATCTATAAATGGTTTTTCCTTTCCCCTAAAACTGTGATGAAAAAAGATTTGTGATGTTCAGGGGAGGAAAATAGGACCATAAACTAATAAGGTTTCCCTTTTTTAGCTTGCTTTAGCTGCTCAGTTGTTGCTCTCTGAAATGTTGAACATATCAGAGATGTTCCTATTGATCTGTTGAAGGTTTACAGATGTCTTTGACTCCAGATGTTGAAGTGTTATTAATTGTGGGTGTGGTGGGATCAGGGCTGAAACGTGGCCAATTTTCATTTTTTACACAGTAGTTGCTGCTCAGTGTGACAGCCTGATTTAAGCCTTCTCTTTATAAGCATAAGCTCTGAATGTCTCTTGTTAATGAGCCTGTTGTCATCCTAAGCTGCTCCTCTCAGGTATTTCCTAAACACTGATGGCATTCCTTGTTGAAGTGGACTGAAAACAGCTCACATGACTGTTATCTGTTGCTCTGACCAGAACGATTTCACTGTATGAACAGTTGGGATTTACATGACTGGGATATCTGAATGCAATGTGGGTTGTTTTGTTGTTGTTTTTTTAAAACAAGATGGCTGCTGTGTAACTGGATGGTTCATAATAAAACAAGAAACTAAACAAACTGTCATTTTTTTTTTCATCAGCCTGTTAGACATATTTAGAGCTACACGCTCAGACGCAAACATAAGATTGCAAATTCTGCAAATCAACTGCTCCTTTTTATCTGTAGATAAATTCTGCTGCTTTTCTTAAAATGGAAAGCAAAGGAAAAGGTTCCCAATCCAGAGGATGCCTCCACTTTCCTGCCGAGTATATATCTCTCTTAAGTGGTTTATTTATTTTTTCTTATGTTGCATTTGCAGTTACTAGAGAGCTCAAGCTCAGACAGATTTTCTATTTCATCAGAAATCCTGAGTATCCTTTGATCCGAATCTTTTCTCTTTTTTAGTTTAAGGCTTAAACTTCTGTTTGGTTTCTAAGCCTCCATTGATTTTTGGATCTCCTTTTTTTTTTTCCTCTTATAGGATTTTTTCCACCATTTCTCAGTATTTAGCATCAACTCTGATAAGTGTCCCTGTCCCTTCTAATGAAATTATTCCTATAGCATCATTCTGCCACCACTGTGTTTAGGCACAAGGAGGGCTTTACCAGGAATTTCACTTTTCTCCTTTTCTGGCAATCTTCAAAAAAGGTTTCACTGAAATTCATTTAGGTACCGTATATCAGAGTAAAGGAGCTAAATCCCCATGTAGACCTTAGTTTGCTGATTTTCTTTTTTATTATTTTTATGGGTAAAAGGTTTCAGACCATTTATGCTTCCCCATTCATTGATAAAAGCATTGATGTTTTTGGTTATAAGTGTCTAGATAATGTGGAGAACCTTCACTAAGCTCTTGTTCTGCTACAGGAGACGTACCGTTAATAACCTCCCAAAGGATGTGTCCTGATCTGATGCCCAAACTTCCTCTGTGATCATTTTACCCATACAGCTCCCTGCAGGACCTTAAATGCTAATGTTAAACTACTGTAAAATAAGCTTTTTGTTGAGCAAAACACCACAACAGCCTATCGATGTACTCGGTGGCTGATTTCAAGTCATTAAAACTAACTGTGCGGGAACTTACCAGTTAATTCGTAATGTGTTTACAGCTGCTGAAAACTCTCATCAGAGCTGATTGTGTGAAAAAGGATGCAGAAACTTAGTGGTCCATTTGATTTCAATAATAGGGAAGTTGTTTTTCACACGATGCAATGCCTCACAAAAAAGGTATCTCTTTGTTTTTAATTTTAAAGAGCCCTAACAGAAAAAAAAATATCAGTTTCATCCCATTTGGTCATCTTAAATTGTAAGATAAGAAAAGGGACTTTTTATAAAAAATCATGAAGGGTCAGCATTTTAGTCCAGATCAAAGTGTAATTACTAACTGGGAAAAAAACATAATAGAGCATTAATCTTTGCTTTGATCTACGACTTCCTATTGATTGAAGAATAAAAACACATTTTGAACATGTCTGAAAACCAGACAGCTTTTATGCTGTGAGATTTTGAAGCGTTTAGAAGCTCGGATGGATTTATATATCTACACAGAGGCGACGGACAGATGAGATCACAGAACCCTTTCACTTGTGAACACATCTGATACCGAGGACAGAGAAACACTTGAGTCCAGAGACGGCTCAGCTTTCATGTCTCCCATCTGCAGAGATAAGGGGATTGCTCTGTGGAAGAATGTGAATAAGGAGCTGCAGGAAGGCAGCGGGGCGCGAGAACAGGGGGGGGGGCTGATTATGGTCATATATATTACAATACATCAAAGCCTTGTGGTTTTAATCATTCTGGTTCCCGTTAAACACAACGCTAACATCATGAACCACGTTTGCAGCAATGCAATTATCATCTTAGAAGATAAAAATGACTGGATGTAAATCCTGTTGGTGTTGTTAAAGCACACAGCTGATTGATTATCAACTCTTTCAGTAATCATTGATTCAGCAAACCCTCAGTGATGAAAAGCAGCCATGGCTTTATTCCAGCGTCAGCAAGTTTAACAGAAGAGAGGAAGTTTAGTGTCAGGAGAACAGCAGGAAGCAGCTACAACTAAAGAGAGCTTTATACTTTAGGGATTCAACCTCTGCCCTCTGACTCCTGTTTTGGGATGGGAAATATGTGGGAAATCTCAGTCGCATTCAACATGATCATTTTTTTAAATTACTTATTTATAAAGAATTGTTTACCACTGACATAGTTTCTGCATCCTGAATAAACATGGTCTAAACCAGTTTAGACTGAGTTTATGCCTGGTTTGATTGAATCCATTAGGGCCAATCCTTTCAGAGATGCTTGATGTGATGGGAAATGTTGTGGGTTATGATATTGCAGAGCGTAGGTCTTCAACAGGGGGTCCGCGACCCCTAGGGGGTCCACGGAGGTTCTGCATGGGGGTTGCACAAGTTTTGGTTGATTAGACTTTTTTTTTATATCCCCCCCTGCAATTTTTTCCACTAATCGAAATACTCATTAACATGAATTCAACACACTGAAGTAAAGAGATAAATGGAGGCAGAAGATGTCTTTCAGTCATCAATGCTCACATTCAGCGACACACAGGAGCTCTTTAAAGCTGGGCACCGTTTCATTCACAACACCTGTCCCATCAACCAGGAATCAGAATCAGAAATAATTTAATAATCCCGGGGAGAAATTGCTTTTGTTATATTACTCCATTTGTAATAGAGTGACTATAGGATCAGTTTGATATAACACCGTTTCCTACAATATATAATTAAGGGGTCCCTGCTCCATCTACATATCAGTTTGGGGGTCCTTGGCCTGGAAATGCTGTAGAACTGCTGAAATTCTCCAACTTTATGTTTTATCAACAGCTAGCTGGTTGAAACCAGGACAATGACCCCAAACAGAAATCAAAAAGCTATTTCAGAAAAGGAGAATGGAAGATAGCTTTTTGATTTTATCTAAAATGTTTGAGTCATGCTTTACAGTCCATGCAAAGAAACCAATTTGACAGCATCAAAATAGTGTCTGTTTCCGTTTTTGGGGGATGGATGGATGAGCATCAGTTATAAATGTATAACGACTATTTTCTATTATAAAAATCCCTGTAATTTAAGCATTTTCTATTCTGCAAATCCAAATTACAATAATTCTGTCATGTTACTGTACCGATCTCATAGACGCATGATTGGGACGTAATCTTCACTTGTTGGAATCCCTATTTTCGACAACCTGCCTCTGCAGAAATGCTGCAGGCCAGCTTACATTTCTCATCAGTTTCCCACAAGAGTATCACCTGAAAGCTCATTAAATCTATAAAGGCTTGGTGCCTTTTAATGGATCCTACCTACACAACCTCTTTGTTGAAAAGTTCTGTTTATAAAATAAAATCTAATCCCATACAAAGTCTTTTTTTTGGGGGTTTCCAATATTAACAATTTATACTATAGAACATGAACAGAGGAAGTGACAAGTCACTGTAGCATTTAAAGAGAATTTCATTCATATATCTGACATCGAATAAAATCCCTGTTTACCAGTAATAAAAAAAAGGTCCATATAAAATAATGATAGTTTGCAGATTAAAAACGCATTTAAAATACATACATGTTCACCATTGTCTCCAGAAACCAGAATCATATCTATTGCTGCTCTTTTAGGCACAATAAATGCCACAATAATTTCCAATTTTTTATGTTTTTTTGAAGTTAACAACTTGATGTGGTATTTACAATATCCTTAGCATAATACGGGTTGAATCACATGTTAAAAGCCAAACAAAGAGCCCTCAGCAGTTTCATATCTCATTGATCTAAAACCTGACTGCAGCTTCAGGGCAGGAATTTACTTTTTGATTCCCGACCAAAACAGTTAAATTCCTTCATTTAGGATCATTTAGGATCATTTGGGATAATCATGTTCCCCTGAACATGTCTGCAGTCCAGATCAGGTCACATGTAATCTGGAATGATCACATTAGATTATGTTTATGTGATCAATCCACCAAAAAGTGACATTAAACTCTAATTATTTAGTTAATGAATAATTGTTGCTGGTTAACGAAACAGTTTAATCACACCAATATTTCAATATAAAAAAGACTGAAATGTCATTTAAGTGATTCTTTCTTACCAATGTATTTATGTACTTATGTGCTTCCAGTTAAAGTATTTCCAAAGCAATTGATTTATACATTTTTAGATGTTATTGATGGATAAATTATCCTAAATCCAGTGGCTGAAGTAGTATATTCATATTTCTGCTGCATTTAAAACCCCATTAAACATATATATATATATATACTTTATAGTCTCAATGTTATATGGGCTTTCATGCATTTAAAGCAAGTAGACGGAGTTGGAGAGGTCATCTTCCTGACCTGTCTGCTCAGTGGAAAAGCTGAAAACTCTCATTTACAGTCATTTATATGTACATCATTGCAGCTATTTGACATTTAACCCTTCTGCTTATCAACAGTTTGTTTAACAATGCATAGAGTCACTCCTTTTTTTTCTAAAAGTATCTAAATAAAAGGCTTGCTGCAAAAAAGAAACTATTCATCTCTATTTTAGTCAAACTTTTTTGACCGTACTAAAATGACCACATAAATTGAGATTCACCAATCAGAGTTTTAATCTAGCTAGAGTTTGTTTTGAACTTCTGCTGTAATATTAATCATAAAGTCACAAATATCTGCTTTGCTTATGTCTAGACATGCTTGATGATGATTGCCCTTTTTTTCCATGAGGTGATTTAGTTGCCCAGCAGTGGTACAACACTGCCACCTGCTGAACAAAGCAGTGCTACGAACAGGGAATAAGTCAACAGAGTGGGAAGGAAAAATAAACTATGCCCCCAAACAGTCAGATTAAATGTTTCCCCAACAGGCTTGTTTATCAGACTAAATGCATCTTTTAAAATCAACTTTGAAACAGTTGTTTAACACACCCTAAATTAAGACCAGATTTCTATCTTTAAAATGTTTCTGTTTTCTTTTTGAAAGGAGGGGTCTGGTATCAGATTCTAATCTTACACAATATTTGACAAACAAACAAATTAAACATGTTTGTTTTTCATCCTTATCAAGTTAAAGAACCGAGGTAATAAAATAAATGAAGTTGCGTATAAAATTAAAATGTTTGAATGGTCTATATATAAGATTTCTTTATCTCTCAAACTGTTATATATTCTTTATTTAGATCAGTTTAATGTTCAACCAGGGTGCAATGAGTTTTTTTAATGTGTTGTTTTAAAAAATTGTATAGTTTAATGATGTGATTGAATGATGTAAGTTTTAAATTCACCAAAAAAAAAAATAATCTTTTGACAAGTTAAATATCAACAAAAGTGGGATCAGCCCCTCAGGAGGGAATGTCTCCAACAAAGGCTTATGTTTACATCTTGTTTCCTTCTTTATCCACAGATACAGCATTTATTAGGGACTGGAAATATCTTTTTTGTTTAAAAAATGGAAGGTTGGTCATTCAGAGCTCACATGTTTAACTGGGTTTCTCTCAAAGTTAGAGACACAACAGGAATTAAAGTTCTCTTAGATCCCTGCTTTGTTGCTTTGTGTGTGTTTGTCTGCTGGAGCCAGTTCTTCTGAGGGTTTTTTCCTGATAAAGGGGAGTTTTTACCTCGACTGCTGGCAAAAAATTAAAACTTGGAAGAATTGGTTTATTAATAAAGAATAATGAGAAGAAGAAAGTTTCCCAATGAATCTGAGCAACTGAAATATGTTGAAAAGCTGCAGCTGGCAAAGATGTTTATGAGCAGAAACCTCAGGATTATTACGTAAGGACACAGATTAATATAATTTAAAACCATGCAGCTGGTGGTTGTTTTTTTCATTCAGTCTCGTATAAAAAAGGTTTGTGACGGTAATATTCAGCTCTAAGGAAATCTGATTCCAGTATCTGTGAGGTTCTTTCCTGAGTTTACTGTGAGCCTGTTATTTATAAAAACAGATTGCCTTTTCATCATTTATACCCTTAGATTTCAATCCAGGAGTTAGAGTATCACCTTACATTCAACCAGACACCCATCCTGGCCTGTACTTCAGGCAGTGACGTGACATTTCCAGAGAACTTTGCAGGCTGTGAACCAATGGAAATAAGTGACTGATGCCAAAGAGAGATTGATTAAGTTCCTTTTGGCCCAGCAGGGAAGGATTATAAGCACATATTTCTACCTAAACTATGGTTGGGAGTGTTAAAGAGAGAAATAAGGATAATATTCACCTGATGTCATCTGTGTTAACAGCATGATTACATTTTATTACAGTCGAACTATCTACATAAACAGTTGTCTATTTATATAAATATTGTTTACTGCTGGAAAGAGACAGAAAAATGTTTTACGTCAAGCAGCTGACAGAGTTGAAAAGCAACTCATTGGTCCGGGAAGTTATGGTGAAATGGTGGAACCATTAAAAACAGAATAAATCCAGTGGAAAATAAATTTGTTCCCTTTTTCTGTATTTGTTTCGGCAGTCCTCTGCTTTAGTAATAAAACTCAGAGAGAAATACTTTTTGATCTTGTTAATGTGTAAAAAAGTCACATTAAAATTGATAAATTATTGATAGATTAACATGTATTTTAAATCGAATGTAATTTTAAATGATTTAACTTTAAATTAACACAACATGAGTCAAATTATACAGTTATCCTTAAATACTTGTAATTTAAATATTGGCTCATAAAGATGTTTCAAGTTTGTTTTAAGTTGATCATCTGGAAAATCAGTAGGATGGCTGGATGGAGTGTTTTCAGAGGCTGAAGTTGAGATAACTAATGTCTGACTGGTGATTTCTCTCTAAGGGGAACATTTCTAGAAAGCTGAAAAACTGTCACAATAGCTTTTGGAGCTGTGATCTCTAGAGCTCCATTTTCCCTGGAGTCTTCTTAACACTTCGAAGTTGTATAGAATCCAGCATCTTAGCATGTGGACTATAAATCATACGCCAGTGAAAGAATGGGTTGATTTCAAGATCTCAGTGAAACCCTAGTGTGGTATCTTAGTAGCGTGTGATCTGTACTGTACAATGAGGTCAACAGATGATGAGCACATAGGCCACAGTTTTATGCCACCAACTTTGTGGGAACAGTTTTGTAATGGCTTCTTCCTTTTTTAATTCTGCACCAGAGAACAAAGAACGGACCTGATTATCCCAAATTTAGAAAGCACCTTTCAGAGACAAAGCTCTGTATAATATAAGCTGTTCAAAATAGTTCAACAAAATGCATTTACAACATAAATGCATAACATTATGAGAGTATAGAGGAAAAGTGATTTTCGTTAGTTTTTTTAATCACTCCACAGAGTCACGTTGCAGAGCTCAACAGTTCACTGGTTGAGGAGCCACATGATGAAGACCCCTTAGTTTTTAACACAGATATTCTGACTTTTGTATGGAGGACTATGAGTCTCTGTGTGTTTGGTTTAAAGCTGAGACACATAATCAGGAGCCGGGTCATATATGGAGATATGTAGGTGAGTTCAGGTGCTAAGAATGCTGATATGAGTTTATTTTTTAGATTTAGTACAAAGTCAAGCCTCTGCGCTTTGAATACCTTAAAGTCGGGAAGTAGATTCTTATTCCAGGATGGTAAAAAATACGGAAGACCAAGAGTGTCCCTGTAAAGAAAAACAGTAATTTCAAATGTAACATTTAAATCATGCAACTTGAAATCCATTTTCAAAGCATTTTCTAATTATGCATTTTAATTTTAATTCTTAAAGATGAGTTGTAAATTGTATTTAATAATCCAATATTAAATGCTGGAATTTGTAAATGTATTTTTAGAAAGGTATTCTTATTTCTAAATGAATATTAAAAAACTAAATTCATAAATCTGATTATAAATACCTCTCCTAATCATACATTTATAAAAGATAATTCCTCTTTTCATTTCTTTTTCATCTTCCATTTTCAAATCCTTTTGGAAATTGCATTTTCCTTTTGCTCTCCCCTCTCCATTTAACATTTCCATGACCCTTAGTGTGCTGCAAATTAATAAATACAAAACTTACAATTAGAAGAAAATACAATTAGAAAATTCTTTTCAAATAGCATGATTTAAATGTTACATTTGAAGTGGCTGTTTTTCCTGTTTCAATGACTCTCTAGGTCTTCCATATGAAAGGACATTGGAGAAGTCTTGATAATATGATAAAAAGAAAACAGAATAACAGAAAACATTTGTGGAAACCTATAGTTAGGTTACAAGAGTAAAGAATTATCTGTTATTAAGTCAAGCTGAACTTTTTGTTTTATATTCTGGAAATAAACCAGAACAGACAGAGAAATCTGCTGATTGGAGTCGGGAAAGGTTTGAGTTTGCAAACAAAAGCATTCAGAGACCTGCTGTGCTTATGTTATACTAAAATGACTCAGAAAATTATTTTCCTTTTTCACTTTCTCCCCTAAAATCTGGCCAAAAATTTGAGAGGCTTTTATGTGGTCTGCAGATTTATTAATGTTTCACTGCACACAGTGCAGCGATGACATGACAGCTACTTGAATCTAAGGCCGGCGTCTATCCAGAAGCCAATGTGCAACATCTGTGAGAAGAAATAAATGTCACCAATTGAAGTGTTTAGCAGATTCAGAACAAACAGAAATATTCAGCGTCTTTGACACATCATCTGTAGATATATACAAGTTAAACACAGAAATACTGCAGCTGTTTCAGCTAATTCCTTCAACTTTATACAGAGCTCCTCAACCACAAAAAGCAATAAAGGAAAGGCTAAAGGAGTTTGTTTTTCATCTGCCTCTGTGGGATTGCTTTATGAATGTTTTACAGACACCTCATGCAAAAACAGCAGAGTTTTTCCAGTCTGAGTAGACAAGAAAGCCAGTGAAAGTGCTGTCAGTCTTGGTGCTAGAATAAAACCCATTATACTCTGTAAGAGCCACCTGGACCCACACCTGGTCGCTGGGGACGAGGTGCAGCAGTGAGCCGCCAGACAGAGATGCCGGTTTGGGCCAGTTGCCATAAAACTGAAAGTAAGACGCCACAGCATGACCGTTCTTCATCAGGTCAAACTGCAGGCTGGCGCGATACACAGTGGCGTGCACCGCAAAGTAGTAGACTCCAGGGACTTTGCAGGTAAAGCGTCCTGTCTCTGTGTTGTAATCCCCCTGTTCGTTGAGGAGGATTGTGTCAAAGATGACGGCATCGCCAACATTTTGAGGTAAAGACTGACCCTGAGACAGTTTGACACTGAAAGCTGATTTAGGAGCCACTGCACACTCTCCTGGCTGGCCCCTCTCCCCTTTTTCTCCAGTGTAACCTTTATCTCCAGTTAGGCCTCGCATCCCCGTCTCACCTGGAAATGAAAAGGAGTATAAACATGAGAGGCGAAACCTCACAGAAATCATCAACTCTCCCCAAAAAAAACATTACCTAGCAGAAGTAGGGGAGACTGCAGATGGTTCGAGCTATTTTTATTTCTTTTCTCTTAATTCCTTTGAGTAAATTGGGCCTAAACAAACCATTTCTTTATATATGTATAAAATACACATCTGCTTGCTAACTGCCCATATTATTTAGATATGATTCATAAAAAACAAATATGTCACAAATAACCCCTTCCCTGTAGGCAATCTGGGATGGAGAGCTGTAGTGTTTATGCAACATGTCATAAATCTATTTAATAACACTAATCATTATTTGTCTTTTGTCTCAATGAGCGCTTTATTCTGAAAACTTGTATTGTTTATAAAACTTAGTTAACAAATAAACTGTCATTTTGGGCTCTCTGAAAAGTCCACATAAATAGACGAGCTAAAATGAAACAAACTTTAAAGCTTTTAGAATATTATTATTTAACATCCCAACTGAACATAGCAAACAGAAAAAAATACATTTAAAAAAATATATATATTTTTTTTAAAGCTTAGATAGTCATGATTCTGCCCTTTGTGGACTTCTGTTTAAGTTTATTTTTGAGTTTTCAGTTACATTTTGATTTATGTCATTCTGCGTTTATTTTTTATATTGGTTTCTTTTCTATTTTGTGTCTTTCTAGTTGCTTTCTAGTTCTATTTAAGCAGTGTTGTATTTCTTGCGTTACTCTCTGTTGCCCCCTTGTGCAACTATCCTTTCCCCTTTGCTCCCTTCTAGTTACTTCTATCCACACCTGCACCCTATCAGCTCATTAGCCCATTATTTTCTGTCTCCCATATATACACCTCCTTTGCAGTTTCTTCTTCTTTGTGCTTCTGCTACCATCTACATCTAAATTAGAAAGGGGCGTGTTGGTGGCGCAGTGGTTAGCGCACACGACCCATGTACGGAGGCCTCGGTGCTCAATGTGGCCGACCCAGGTTTAATACCGAACTGTGGTCCTTTGCCGCTCTCATACCCCTTTTTCTAGTGCCGTATAATCTTTAAAAAATTTAATAAAATTGGCGAGAAATTATCTCTGCCTCCTTATCTCTGCATTTGTGTTCTCAACCAACTTCCACTAAAGTTGACAAAGATATCTTAAATCTTTCTTCAACGTTTTAAATGTTAATATGTTTTAATGGACGTCCTCATGAAAATAACCTAACAGCTCCTTCCCAAACTTCTCTTCACCCAGAGTCTTATATGGTTTTCTTTTTTTAACTGGGATTTGTTGGCAGGATAACAATAGAGTATGCAAAATGAGAAAAGCTAAAAATCCTTAGCAAAGCGTCCATGTCCATACACACAAATGCACTGGGGATAGTAAGTATATATTAAGATAATTAGGTGAAGAAAATGTATTGTATTTTATTTTAACTATAGAAAACAAGAAGAAAAGCATGTTGGGTAGCTCTGAAAAATAGTGTCTAAATTCTTCCTTACAAAAGCAATATTTACTGGGTAGAAAAATTCCTCACCTTTCACAAAAATTATAGCACTAATATCTAACTATAAAACCATTTTGTCTGAGCCTGCTTCTTTTTTTCTAGTTTGCATAGAGGCACCTATGAGCGGGAATCAAAGCCCAGGACATTTGGACTTCATTCCACACTTGTTTAGTTTTTCTTGGTTTCGCCTTGAAAACAGCATGTTTAGTTCACCCCAAAAAGTATTCGATAGGTGCATCCCCAGCACTGCCCATCACTGTGCTGTGGCGTGATTTAAAGGGTTTTGGTGCTTAAGATACACTATTTCTCTGTAGACACATCAGTATTTTAACCCCTTAGACTTTGTATTATAACATTTTTGTGGATATTCATAATTCAAGTTGGCATATTCTAATTACTACTGCATTGGAACTCTGCAAATAATCATTTCCGTTACAGCAAATGTATTCAATAACCTGTAGAGATTTTCAGACAGATGAACTTTGACCAGCATGCACATCATCTGCTGCTTTCCTCCATAAACAAAGGACACCTGGTTTCATACATGGTATGTTCTTACTGTGCAAACTCCACACTGCTGCTTTTTTTTGGCCACAACCTCTTTCGATCAATTTAATTACACTGAATACGAAGCAGGCTTTTCATAATGGCTGGTTCTGTTGGTTTTCTATTACTCTGTTGCCTCTTGTTAAAATTATGCACCATGTGGAAATATATATATAATACAAAGCAAATCAATATACAATGTTTTAAATTTCTGAGCGATCTGAAAAGTGTGATGATCATCTGTGGTTGTAATAGACAGAAAGGAGTACCTGGATCCCCCCTGTCTCCCTTCTGGCCTTTCTCTCCCGGAGCAGCGTCCCTCCCATCTCTTCCATCTCTTCCCGGCTGACCGGGACTGCCATGAACCCCAGGAGAGCCCGGGATGCCAGGGTGGCCAGTGCACAGACTGGGTGGGATTTTATTGTCTTCCAACTGGCTGGAAAAACAGACTTGTATGGCGATGAGGGAATATAACAAGGCAAACAGGCGGAGTGAGGTCATTGCACTGGAGAGGCTAAAGAGAAAAGAAGTAGAGTTTTAATCACTAATATGAGAGCTATCAGACAGCTTTAAACATATTTAGACAAAATAACAGTAGAGCACAGAAAATATTGTATTTTAAATACAATTTTATGATAATAATAGCAGGAGGGAGCATGTTAGTGTAGAAGAAAGTCCATGAACATGTCAGGCAGTTTGAAATGGAAAACTTTATTGGCTCATCATTAATCATAGTTAAAACAACTCCAATAAAACATGTAGAAGATTCTTCTAAAGGAAATATGCTGACCTCCAACTGTTTACTAAAACGAGTGCTGCTGGGGAGTTTTTCATGGAAAACAAACAAATATTAAGCATTTGGTTATAAAAGGTCTTACTTTTTTTTTTTTTTTTTTAGATAAAAACTTTGTATTTGAGTGTATGGGTAGTATGATGTTGTGGGGTATGTGTTGTATCTGTGGCGGTAGAGCTTACAAACTAAAACATGACAAATAATTCTGAGGATGCAATCTTCCATCCTCTATAGAACCTCCTATTCCAGGTCTTTGGATCCAGTAGTTCCAGGTTATCAATAGACAACACCCTAAAAACACCACCAGCACTTTGCAGAACTAGCACTGAGACACCATGCATAGGAGAAATTTGAGAGAACCTCACACCGTAAATTCTGACCTGGATTTGAACCCATGAAATTACACTCTGCAGCTGCTGTCAAGTATAATTGACCAGATATTGAATTTATATATTTTATTTCCTTTGGTAGAACTAAGCACATCCAATTTAAAAAACAAACAAAAGAAAATCAATTAAAATCATAAGTCTAATACAGGTGATTTATGGGTCACAGGTTTTTATTCTTTTTAACGTGTTTTAATTATGACTTCTGGGGTGTTTAATACTGCATGCCTACAGACTATTAGGAAATGATTAAATTAAAGTTCAGACTTCCTCTGTCCTACTTTTGCATGTGGATAGGTTATTAACTCAGTAGAGTTAAAAATGCTGCAGAGAAGATTTCACTATTCTTGTTTTATTCAAATGTTCAGTAGGGAGTTTTGTTTAAGTGTTTCACTGAGTTTTTATATTATTCTGTGGATTTCAGATATTTTAATAACCCCTTAAAGACAACATTTATAGGGCTTCCTATTATGTCACATTACAGCCACAAAGCTTTAACAAGTTTACTGGGATTTTGCACAGCTTTCCAAAGCAAAGCATTCTGCATAATTATTATTAGGTGGGAAATGATTCATGGTTTTTAACTTTTAATTGAGCTGAGACTGAGAGTGCATTTGCTTTCAGCCTTGCTGACACAATACCTTTCAGAACTATGTGTTCCAGTCATCACAGTCTTAGTGGGTTTATGTCTATGGCAGGTTTTAAATCTTGACACAACATCTTAATCTTAAAGGTCTTGGTTCTTGGTGGACTTTTCTCTAGATAACTGTTTTTTAATGTAAACTGTTATTTTGTAGCTCAGTCTGTTGGTTTAGTGTTGTTGTCCTACTGGAATATGAACCTTTGTTCCAGTTTGAAGTCCTTTACAGTGTGAAATTTCTCTATTAGACCACTCAGGTCTTCTGGCTCCAGCCTGCTCTGCATACCTAGAACCAGAACTAAACATCGAGAAGCAGCATTTAGTTCCTATGCTTCACTTATCTTGAACAAACTTCCAGAAAACTGTAAAAGTGCCGAAAGCCTGAGTTCCTTTAAATCAAGACTAAAAACACATTTGTTTAGGATTGCCTTCGACTGTTCTAGTTAAACTGTTCAACTGAAACATCATTAATTTGACGTTTTTCTTTTCTTTTGTCCAACTGTTTTTAATGTTCTCTTTTGTTTCTGCATTTTTATTTTTTTCCTACTTGCTTTGTTTCTGTTTTATTTTCCTATATTTTAATCATGTAAAGCACTTTGCATTGTCTTTGTACTGTATTGCGCTATACAAATAAATTTGCCTTGCCTTGCCTTGCCTTGCCTATTGTTTGTCCATTGTTTACCATTAATTCTGATCAGTTTCCCTTCTCCCCTTAAAAGAAAAGCATCCCATCAGAATCACGTTGACCCCACCATGTTTGTGGGTCTCCTACACGCCCTACCCTGAGACCTTTAAAAAAACAATCTTTCCTCATTTTTATTACTTAAGTACTCTGTTAACTACAGCTAAAATTGGATCCTTTACTTAACGACTGAACATTTACTTCGATTTACTGTTAGCAGTGTGCAAAAATTACAGGAAAAGTCCAAACTGCTAAATCAGCATCTTTACAGCCTAAAATATGGATGTTTCATTCAGAACATCTGCACACAAAGAAGCATGGAGGGAGACTAAACTGGAGAGAAACAGTCAGGAAAAAATGAGGGTGGGACGAAGAATCACACGTCAGCATTCCTGGCAGCAGTAGAGCTCAGACAAGAGGACAAACACTGGAGAGTTGGAGCAGCTGTAGACCCCAGATAATTAGAAAAGGGAATGTTTCTAATAAAATCATAAAAAAGGGGATTTTAAAAAGTATTGATCATAAATATAATGTTAATCACAGATGCATACAGCTCATTTAACTAATACAAATATCGATAAAGGATTAATGTTTCCAGTAAGAGGAGTAAATTTTAAACAACAGTAAAGTGAGAATCAGTGCAGCAGTAGGTGAGGGTGCATATAGAGAAAATTCTGCATTTGTGCTTGTTTGAATAGATAACTAAGCAACATTAAATCTCTTGAGACTAAAAAGAGAACCTACAGACCTGTTTGAGTGACTTCCTGTTAACTCCTTGCTACTTGCTTTTTTCCCCCACAGATAGTCAATATGTGTTATTGCTGCAAAGTTAAAGGGGAACACCATTTTTTTTTTTTTTACATTGGGCCCTTGATTTTAGGTTATTGCATCATGTTCTATTCACCCATATGAGTTTTGTGTCATTTGGAGCTGTTCTGAAGATATTCCGTTAGGTTATATCCAAGTTCCTATGGGCAACGACTTAAAGGCACAAACTAAACTGTTCATAATTTATTCTTTATGGTACGCCAGCATTCATAAAATGTAGGCGAATCACTGTCCCCCAGACATCTGTGGTTATATTTTTCATATTTATACCTTTTAAAAAAGAAGCGGCACATGTATGATGTCATCCACGCACGCCGGCTACCGTTCATTCTTCCTGTACACTGAACTGCTGCTAGTTTTACTCACATGCCTGGAAGATGTCTACTGCTACTACCACAGATGATCTCGCTCTCGAAATGGAATTGAACGATTCAGATTAGCTAGCTGAATGAATAGAAGGGGTAGAGCGTAGCCGCCTGTGGCCCGGGCTGCCTGTCACAACTCCAGTCTGGCGCGCGGATGACGTCATACACACTCCGCTTTGTTTTAAAAAAATATAAATATAAAAAATATAACAGCGGATGTCTGGGGGACAGTGATTCGCCTACATGTTATGAATGCTGGCGTACCATAAAGAATAAATTATGAACAGTTTAGTTTGTGCCTTCAACTCGTTGCCCATAGGAAGACATTACTTGGATATAACCTAACGGAATATCTTTAGAACACCTCCAAATGACACAAAACTCATATGGGTGAGTAGAACATGATGTAATAACGTAAAATCAAGGGCCTAATGTTAAAAAAGGCGTTTCCCTTTAAAGATTCTAACCAATCAATCATCTATGTTCGTTCAGGTGGACCATAACAAACTGCTTTTGGTTTTTTAATTTTATAACTAGAATGTATGTAATTGCCTTCTCCTGGCATGAAAAGGAGCCACTTACCAAAGGAAGTTCTGTTCGGACTTTTTAACAAACCATACCTGCTCTGGTTACCACTATATGGGCTTTGACAGCTTATAAATTCAAGGATTTATCAGTAATCGGATTACAGTTTGCTCCTTAGAGATGTAAATATGTGAATTGGACTATTAACATAAACCAGCAGGTCATTTTTCATAGTTTAATTATTTCAGGGGTCATAATCTGACATTTTTAACAGAAGTGTACTATAACCATTGGGCATAAGGTGTAGTGCAAACTATTTAAAGTGTACTAAAAAAAGAGATTTAATTACATGTAACTTCTATGCTAATCAATTAAAATATTTAACTATAACACTGATAATAAATCTGATATGAAGTACATGGGTATAGAATGGTTTGTTTACTAGACCATAATAGAAATGAGGTGGCAAAGCGAAGCCCAGACATACTGGGAACATTTTACGCCAACATATGGGGAGCTGAAAATGACTCAGAATACTGTTTAATAATCTCAGCATTAATTAGGATAACTAAAAGTGATTCCCTGCAAATGGTTGTTATGAAATAGATAAAAGCAAAAAAACATCACTGCTGTAAATGAAAGGCATATCTTATTATTTGTTTTTGTATAAAGGATAAAGAATACAGAATGGACATGGGGACTTATTATGATTATATGACCGTAATTACATCATTTGAGTTCTTTGTGCTAAAAATTTGCAAATAATTACATGTGTTTGCAAAACAGAAATCACACAGCAACAGCTATTGAAAAAGGTTTGGCAGAGAGCAATCATGTTTCCCGTTTGCTGCTGAATACTTAGAATATTTTACAGTTGTTCAGTTTATATCAGGAGGACAGACTTCTTTTCTCAAAGCACATCTAGGTTCATTCACCTTGCAGATGTGTTGCTAGTTTCAGCTCTTAACGGCCTGATGGAAGTAAAACAACTTACCAGGATTCAGTGCAATCTTGCTGCTTCAGATGGTGTTTGTGAGTTGAAGAGAAAAACACCAAAAAAAATAAAAAGTCCTTCTCTAGACCTGAGAGTTTGGCTGGGAAAAACTGAAAGGAAATGGTGATGAGATCCAATTAGAAAGCTGGGGTCAGTGGGAGAGGTGGAGCCACGGTGGGGAGGAGAGGGAGGAAAATATTTGATGTCTATTCAGGACAAACACATGAGAAAGCTACTCACAAGGGGAGTCATACTTCTTCACATTTAAGCTCATTATTTAGCCAAAATTAATTTGATATATCATATATGAAAGACAAGGTTTGTCAAAATGTCTTTTTAGAAGTAAAAATCTACAAAGTTCCTCTGAGTAAATACTCCTCAGTTATAGCTGCAACACATTTGGGGCATGTCTGTAAGACTTTTGCACATATAGAAACTAAAATTTTGCCCACTTATTCGCTAAAGCACTGACGTTCTGATAGTTTCGAAGGACAGTGTGAACGAAAAGCATTTTTGTAAGTGTGTTTCACATTCCCATTTAAACTAAGGCACTCTATTGCAGCTCTGTCTGTAGGATTAAGGTATCCTGTCAATATATTAGCAGGTTTTCCTTTAGGATTGCCCTGAATAAGCTTCCAGCTAACCCCTCCACACTGCAAAAAATTTTAATCTAAGTGAGTCACTTTTTCTTAAAATAAGAGGATTTTTTTTCTTGAGTTAAGCAGCAAAATGAGAATCTTTGCCAATGGAATAAAACTATTCACATATTAAATAAGCATTCCAAGTGCATAATATATCAATCAATAAAAAATACTAACTTCATTGGCAGATAATCTTATTTACCAACTCAAATTAAGGGTGAATATCATTTTATTATTTTTACTTTTTCTTATTACAAGCAATTTCTACTTACTTTTAGATCATTTTTGCAGTGCACGAACTCTGGTCAGTTTCCACTACCATGATGCCGCCACTGCCATGTTTCATCAGAGGAACCCTTTGTTCTGGTTGTTGTGAATTGTAAATATTGTATGACACATAAAAAACATTTTGCCTGTTGTTCAAAGAGCTTAGTTGTGGTCTTATCTGACCAGAGCAGCCTCAGCATGGTTTTGTTTGAAGATATTTGTAGAGTGTACAACTTAAAGCTTTTCTGCTGATAGTCTCATCTGAGTTTTGGACCTCTGCAGCTCCTCCAGAGTTGTCTGGGACACATTGATTGCCTTTCTGAGTGATGCTCTCCTTGCAATATGTCAGTTTGGGTGAATAGTTGTGCTTTCATAGGTACGTCATTGTCCCATACTCTCCGTTTTCAGAAGAGCTGTCAGCTAAGGAGAGGGACCTCCTTTGTTCGTACTGCAAGGGTCAGAACCATACGGAATCCTTTCCTGGCCTGACCCTGGATCCTTGCTTCCCTGAGCAAAGCGGACCTCTGCTCTCCAACCTGGACCTACAGTACAGAGAATGTTTTTTATCGAATATGCACCAGAAAGCCCTATACCACAGCTGCACAAAAGCAATTACCCAAAGACATCTTCAGAACCGGTCAGTCTGCATCTGAGCAGAAAAACTTTAAGAAAAAGCCCCCAAGTGGAGGACTTTATACAAGCCTCCAATTAAAAAACAAACTGGTGATCTCCAGTGGAGGATTTTACACGGTGCCATCACCACACACTGGTTTTTACTCCGTTATTAATTGACGTGTTTTAAACGAGTGTCCTTTCCGGTC